CCTTTCGGCGGTGGCTGCTCTGCTCTTCATGCCCCTCTTGGCGGCTGCAAAGATGGCCGTGGTCCGCGTCTTCGCGACCGATGAGGAGGCGACTCTTCCTTGTTGTTACATTGTTCAAGTCTGAATCGAAAGGGTCGTGATAGCTTCTAGGCTTCGGGATTTAAAGGGTCTCTAAGAAGGTTTCAGGATTCTGTATGCTCGCCAAGTGCAGGTCGCGTATCTGACGGAATCCTACTCGGCGTGGGAGTCGATGTTGCCATGTGCAAACCCCAACCCGAACAGCAACGTTGACTTGATCCTGGCTTACAGCAAGGACCTTGCCGCGGACTCCACGGCCAAGGCGGCAGTCCAGTCCTATGAGACAGGCTTTGCGCAGAGTGAGCACTGGACCCGCTGCTTCGCGGGCATCAAGAATTTCTCCGCCATGCTTGCCCCGGAGGAAGACCAATATGATGAGCAAGGTTATGCCATGAACAAGCACTGGGTCTCAGGCCCCAACATGATCTTCAAGCATGTTGTGGAAGCCATGTTCACTGGTGCCTTTGCCGGCGAGTACGACAGCTTCTTCTGGATGGAAATGGATGCTGTTCCTGTCATGGCGAACTGGCTGGACAAGTTTGTGGAAGAGGCTGCAGAGATGCCTGCAATGAACATGGCTATCCGTGGCAGCCCCTACTATGGAGCCAACTGGCTCATGTTCTCAGACATGATGCCTGGCTATTTGCTGAACCACGTCAACGGCAATGCCATTTACAACCTCCAGCACCCCTGGACGAAGTTCCTGTTCGACACGTTCACTGCGGTGGACAATGCTGCCTTGATGGAGGAGATGGCCTTCGACACGGCGTACTCGGCGATCACCAGAGCTGCTATGGACGGCTCCAACACCATGCTCGCAGCTGCATGGGCAGCTAGCAACGGCTCGGCCATGACCTACAGCTCTGACACCATGCTGATCGGTAACTATGCCAACACTTTGCTGAACAGCAGCTACGAGGTTGGGGCATACATCCGCCACGGCTCGAGGCACAACATTTTCGAGAGTCTGGCGGGTGACATGGTCACGCTGGGAGTTCTAAGCATCGATGGGGATAACGGGCGCATGCTGAGCAGCATGTCGAGCAACCACCCCTTCAAGAAGGTCCACATGCTGACGCACTACCCAGTAACGACATCCACCGAGACCATCGAAGCACCAGGTGGCGACGTCACGCTGACCATCGAGAAGGCTGAACACGGCCCGCTCATGCACATCTGCGAGATGGCAGGCAAGGTGACAACTCCCTGGTTCGCAGTGGCAAGCAACCTGCACCACATCAATGCGCCGGTGAGTGTGCTCATGCGCATGGGCGAGCCTGTGATGCCGTATGTCCTGGCCACCTCGCCCTACTGTGCCAATCGACCGTACTGCAAAGCCTCGTTGGATCAAGCGGAGGAGCTTTTCGGCATCTCCCTGAACTACCACCATGACCCGAACGAGGTGCTTTACAAGGCGTCCGAAGTCGTGACTTTCTGTGATGCTTGGATGACTGCCGTTGGCAACAAGACTATGGAGACTTGCGACATGGTCTTCGGCCCCACAGCGGATGACTTTGTGGCTTGGAAGCTCGCCATGGGAATGAACGTCACCGGCGTTCCGAGGGACAAGACACGCTACGGCTGGAGGTCTTGGACGAGCCTTTGGGCTCCGATGCCCGTGGATGAAAGAAATTGCTCGACCACGGTGTATGGCGAAGCAGAGTACATGGAGGCACTCTCGCTTATCTCGAATTGCAGCCTCTATGTGGAGAACGCCTCTGCCTGCGACGGAGACGCCATGTGCTATTGGAAGCCGATGTTCGAAACCGGTGTCTGCGCCATCGATACGTCGGGCACGAACACGGTCGTGGAGTTCATGGCCCCTCCAAC